AGGTTCCCACTCTTCTTTGCAGGCTCGCAGCCCTGTGCATGCTGGAGATGCTAACACCAAGGCCCTGACAGTTTTCAAGCACTCTAGTTATCTGGGCCCACTGCCAGGGAAGAGGCTGCAGCCTGGGGAGTTGTGTCCTGAGCAGATGCTAGTTCCATGGCTGCCTCTGCCTGTGGGCCCCCTCTCCTTCTGGTGGATATGGCTTGTGGCTGCATCCTGCACTGTGGGGTGCTGTGCAGTGCCCTGGGCTCCTGGGCTCTTGCAGTGCTGGGTACTGAGAGTGTTCCCTCTCCCCGCCTTCCTGGGGCACAGGACAAGGTAGGCTTATGGCCAAGAGGTGCCCAGCTAGGAACAGGCTGTGTCAGAGGCACTGCAGCAGAAGCAGATCTAGGCTCCTGTGGCAGATGTGATGCTGAAGGATAGACCCAGTGACTCCTGTGGCAGGGCAGGGAATGGGACAGACTGTGCTCGCTTCACAGGATCCTTGGGGTATTCTGTTCAGGACAGGGGCCAAAGGTCACTGGAAGGAAATGGATTCACTTATCTGGGCTTTAACTCCTACAAGCCAAGGCTGTGGTGGGGCAGGAGCTCAGTGCCCCCGTGCTGCAACCCCCACAGCACAAATTGAGCTGGACTGGGGTGGACATGGACAGGAAGGGCGCTAACCCAGCACCTTGTGTGTGGATCTACCCTCTGGAGTGGCTCCACCCGGAGCACAGTGCATGTCCTGAGCAGGCTGAGCCCCTGAGTACTCACCAGCACTACTCCTGTACCAGCACAAGCAACAGACAAGAGCCGGCAGATAAACAGATAGAGCTGCCCGTTCTCTTCCTCTGTGCAGGTAAAGAGGCACAACAGAGATCCAGCCCCTGAGACCCACACCTGCGGCAAATTGCTTCTAGCTCATAGGGAAGTGGTGTGTGCGTTCCGCATGCTGGTCCCCATACCAGCCAGCCAAGTGGGACAACTGGAGCCCTCTGTATGTGGCAGCACTGATCCTCCTCGGGCAATGTAGCACCCCAAAAGTGGGACCTTCCTTGTCACATGGCTCCTTCCTATCCCAGATGAAGTAGCACCTCCAGGCAGGTAGGAGGCTGCCCATTGCCCTGCCAGCAGCAGGATGTGAGGGATCCATTACACCTGATCCTGCCCTGGCTCCCAGCAGGATGTGAATCATGCCTGAGAAATGGTGACATGTTTAGGCATGAGTATCCTGTCCTAAGCAAGTGGTACCAGTTCTGTGCAGGCAGGTGGTCCCTGTGGCTGGTCTGGCTGCTACAGAGCTGCCATACTGCTGCCCTTCTGCTGATGCTGCTCTCCAGCTGCACTGTGTGTTCCAAGACACATTCCTGTGCACCACCCTGGCAACTCTGTACTGCCCAGCCTCCATGCACACCCAAGGGCAGCTCTTAACCCATCCCTTACCATCTCTGGGGTGTGCCCATGCCCAGGTTCTGCCATCTCTCAGAGGGTACAGCATTACATCCACCCCAGGTCCTGTTGCTCCGGCCTCTCTTCATGCCAGCCTCTGAATTAAACAAGCTGCACAGTTCCCAGGGACTTACTGTCAAGGAGGATCTTGGCACATCATCACACCCAAGGCTGCAATTCTCAGGAGTGAGAGGAGGAAGAGGAGGCAGGGAGAGCCCAACTTCTCCTGCAGCCCAGGAAGATGGAGGAGCTTCTCTCCTGCCCCAAGGAGCTGGGAACCATGGAGTACTCTGCCATGGGAGGCCCTGAGAAGTAGGTCTGAGAGCTCCAAAACTCAACCATCATGATGTCACTGTTGATAATAGCATGGTGCCCTGTGGGACCTGCCCTGTTGTCAGCATACAAAGGAGTGGCAGCATCAGGGTTCACATGTGCATGCCATGGACAAACAGAACAGTGCAGTGAAGCCAAGAGCTACCCTTCTCCTCCCCTTTTTCCTCCTCCTCCTGTTCCTCCTCCTCCTGCTCCTCCTCCTCCCACCCCCCCCCCTCTCCCCCCCCACCCGCTTAGCTCATCCTGCTGCTTTGGTCCTCTCCCCTCCCACCCTGCTTAGCTCATCCTGCTGCTTTGGTCAGCTAGGAGTGGGTGCCTGGCCCAAACATCCACCTGGGGTGACAGGTCTCCCCTCCCTGGCTTCCTCTGGGACTGAGGCCAGCCAGGTCAAGCCAATTTGTGATTTTGGGAGCAGTCACAAAATATCGGGTGTGTAGACAGTGGGATGGACAAAGGTCTGTGCGTGTCAGAAGTTCCCAAGAGAGGAGGTATGAAACCAGGAAAGCTTCAGGAGGAAGAAGAAGAGATGGATTCCAGGACCCTCCTCTGCCCACTGCAGCCTGTGTAGCCCTGCACTGCCTGGGGGTCTGCCAGGGTAATGCTGGCCCCACACTGTGCTCCTGTGCCCAGAGGAAGGGCTGTGCTCCAAATGAGATTGAATTGAATTGAATTGAATTGAATTGATTGAATTCTCCCTGCCTGGCTCTACAGTCACATCCCTACCTTTGTCTGCATTTTCCCATCCCTGAATCAGGCAGGTGGCCAGACCAGTTCCAGACATGTGCTTGCACAATAAAATTCCATCACTGCTATTTAACATTATGTTTAGCATCCCCAAAGGGAACCCAAAGGATTCTTGCCCCTCCTCCCTTTGCGGCACTTTTCCCCTGGCAGAGGGAGCCCCCAGGACCTGTGCACCCACCCAGGCCTCTGCCCCCTGATGCAGTTTCATCCCCTCTACTGGGTAATATGACCACCTTTGTCAGCACAGAACACACAACAGCATGCTGTGATTGCTGCAAACTGGTGAGATCACTCCCTCACCTGCCCTGCACCAATGCACAGGGCAGCCTCCCCACAGCCCTCCCAGAGCCAGGCCTGGAGCTGGAGCCCTGGGCTCTCCAAGGGGTTTGTAAATATCTCCTTGCTCCACTTCATGGAATAAGGAGGTCTGCTTGGAGTCTGTGCTTGGCTGGCTGCATGTCCACCTCACCCCCGGGGAGCCCTGCATATGCTGAGGAAGCTGATGCATACGCTGTGTGGTGGGTGTGATCCTGGGTATGTGGCAGCGGGTCAGTGAGGATGTGACAGGATCACTGCCTGGGGGAATGGAACAAGAAGTGGTGCAAACCTGTAGGAGCACAGGCAGGGTAAGTGCCACTGCACATGCTGAGAGCTGTGCACCCAAGGCTACTTTATCCACAAAGCTCAGCATGCTTCTGCTTCCAGGTTCTCCATATGGGAAGACCACGCACAGATCCATCTGAAAATGCCAACATGCACAGGGAAAGGAGGTTCCTATCCGTGCTGCCAGCCACACATCATTATCCATTGCCCTGCCCAGTGCTGATGCTGGCAGAGGGGCTGGGGAACAAACCTGATGTAACTTCAGCAGCTTAAGGTTGGCAGTAGGGTCCCCCCCATACTGCAAGGGCAGAAGAGCTGCTACCAGCTGTGCTGCCTGAAGGCCAGGAGCTGGATATGTGGCAGGGCCTGCTCCCACATGACAGCAGAGCTGCAAGTGATGCAGACCCCTGAGTGTGCGGGTGCCTGGTCCCTGAGGGGCTGTGTGACAGCAGAGATGGAGGGCACGGCAGACCCCAGGCCCCTGTGTGGCAGCTCTGTGACAGATATGGCAGGGATCATCCAGCAAGTAAAGATGATGATCTCTGCTGAGATTGGCAGAGGGTGATATGTTAGATGGCACAGTGATTGGAGGGGTTGGCTTTAGTATAGTTGCTTGGGCAGGGGCTGTCATGCTCCAGTGGAGCCCAGTGCTGCTCAGGCCTGGAGACTGGAGAGCTACTGAGGAATCTAGGGCAGCAGAGGGCTCTGGAATGCCAGTGTAGCTGGAGACCCACCCTGGCAAACAGTCCTGAAGTCAGACATCCGAACCAACACTCCCAGCATGGAAACTGCTGGACCTCCTAGGCACCTCTACCACACCCCACCTTTCTGGCCTACCATGGTGGGTTCTTCCCTGTGTCAGATGATGCCATGGTCCTGCTCCATCCCATCCATCTTCCCAGATCGCTGGGAACTCCCAGAAAAGCAGTGAACTTAATCTCTATAACCTTCTCTGGAGAAGCCCCTTGGTCTCTGGGTTGCTGGACAAGGCAGGTAGCAGCATCTCTCCCCCTCACCTACGAGCTGGAGGCAGATGGCAGCTGCCAGCTTTGCAGAGCCCACAGCACCTCTGGGTTATGTCAGGTACTTAGTCCTCTCCAGAGAATACTTCTGGCCTTTGCCCAGAAACAGGATTGAGCCCCAACATGTTTGTTCTCTACAGAGCAGGGCTGCACTTCAACTGCAGGTAAGGAGCTTGGGGTCTCCAGGGAAACCTCTCGACAGTGAGACACCAGGGCTTGGCTGTCCCGGCACTGCCTTCTAGGACCTGGAACAGGATGTAAGGACAAGGGCACCACAAGCAGCTTCTGAGCAATAGGACCATGTGGGGGGCACAACACATCCTCAGGGAGCCCTCGCAAGTTTTTGGGGGTGCCCTGGGCATTAATCCTGCAGCGGTGTCAGGGAGCAGCTCAAACAGCTCCCCAGACCATGCAGGGGCATCCCACAGTGTGATCCCGCGGGCCCGATGGGGAGGGCCTCCAGGCAGGAGGTGCTGGTGGCCCCGCATCCCGCAAGCCGAGGAGCGCAGCAGCTCCTGCGGGCTGGGAGCCCCCACGGCCCGGCTGGGCTCGGGGACACTCTGCGGGCAGCGATACGCCCTGGGGTGCAACCCCAAGGGGGCCAGGCCCGAGTTCCGCCACACGGCACCGGCGTGGGGTCCGGGACGGGAGTGAGTCCGGAGCGGCACGGCACGGCACGACTGCTGGTGCACGGTGCCGGGACAGGGCTGGGCACCGGGATACAGGACCCGCAGGTCCGGCGGGGCGGCGCCGGGCCGAGGTGGCGGCGGCGGGGCGAGGCGGGGCGATGGGAAGCGGCAGGGCGGTGGGAAGCGGTGGCTCTGCTATTGGCGCTATTGGGAGCACGAACGGGAGCGGAGCCGAGCCGGAGAAGGCGGGGAGCGGGGCGGGGCGGGAACGCAGCCGAACCCAGCGCAGGGCCGCGCCGCCCCGGCCGCGCTTTGTTGTCTCGGCCGCCACCGAGTCCCGGCCGCAGCAGTGCGGCCCCAACGGGCAGGATGTCTCAGGAGAGTCTCCTCGGGATGGACGAGGGAGCGCTGCGGAAGCTGGTGAGTCCCCAGGCTGCTGCGGGTCTCGGGGTACGGTGCGCGCCCGCGGCGGTTCCGGGGGTGGATCGTGCCCGGAGGTGTCTCGGCTCCTTGAACCCCCCCGGACCGGGGGCTGATGTCCCAGGCGCGGGCAGAATGGGACCGGGTGGGCCTCGGGTCTGTTGCTCGGCCGAGGGATTCCAGAGCCATGTCTGGGAGCGGATGTAGCGCTGGAGACCTAGCGCTGGTCCCAGGCGGCAGCACCTGGAGGGACCCGCGCTGGCCCGGCTTGGGCTCTGGGCCGGGGTGAGCTCCAGACGAGCTCTGGTGATTCCGAAGGCTCTGACCCCGCTGCTCTGGCCACTTTTGGCCCTTTTCTCGAAACCTCGCCTGGCTGTACTGCCTGTCCCGGCTCCATCTTCTCGGCCGGCGGATCCAGGGGAATCGTTCCCCGATGCTGGCACAGTTCCCCGCTCTCCCCTTGCGGGCTCCCGCGCTGCCGGGGGCTGGCACAGTGCCAGGCGCACTTCCCGGGCTCTGCCTGAATGGCTTTGCATCCCATCCCCTCCTGCGCGGCGGCTTCTGGGGCACCGGCCGGAGCAGTCCCAGAAGCGAGAGCTGCAGTCGTGCGCTGCCGCGGCCGGTGGGCTCTGGAGAACGAGGGTCTCCGTGTCCCGAAGACGGGACTCAGGATACTCAGCCGGGTCTGGTGTCCCGGGAAGTCCCCACAAATGCCCGGCTTTGGGCAACCCCAGGGACCCCTGGCCCGGGGCTAGGGCTGTGCTGGCTGCCCCGGGGATTAAGCCGGGGTGGCCCAGGCCAGCGGGGAATAGTCACGGCAGGAAGCTGAGTGAGCAGGGAAGGCAGGTCTGCTGGGACAGGAAAGAGTCGGGATGCCGGCGGGAAGTGGGGGCTGTGCAGTGGGTCCGCACGAGGGCTCCCCCGGCTGAGCTTTCTGTCCTACAGCCCTCAGCCAGCTCTGAGCGACACGCAGACCTGCCCGTGGTTCGAGCTTAGGAGCCCACTTGCTTCTCGCGGGGTGATGTCAGGGCCAATGGACCATCCATCCAGAGGCATGGGCATGGGTGGTCAGTGTCTTCCCAGCTTGCCAGTGCTCCAGCTCTGCCATGTCCCAGCCGAGGTCTCTGATCTGAGATGGAGTCCCAGGAGCAGTGGGTTCCTGGTGTCTGGGCAGCCCAGGGAGGTGGATCTCATCCTGCAGCAAGCACTGCTTCTATGGCTGCTTTTTCTTTGACACGCTGAGGCTTTGCCTCCCCAGAGCACTGTGCTTGTGACCCACATTTCCCTGTGCTGTGTGGCACAAGCTTGGGAAAGCCTCATCTGAGCTGACATGAGGCAGGGAAGGAATTATTTTTCTTCTGGTTAGGTTTTTGGCTCCACTCAGCTGGAAGAGGATTAGTCCATATAAGGGAAAACTGCCTCTCCCACTGCTTCCTCCCTTTTTCTCTGCTCTCCCCAGCCCTCCACTCTGCCTTGCTTCTCCTCATTTCTCTCAAGTGACTCCTAGGCAGCAGGATCTGATGTCCCCAGGGAAACTGAAAGAAGGAGGCTGGGGGACGTGAGGAGGTCCCTGCAGCCTCCTCACTCCTGTGCTGGCTGGGCTGGGAGCTGCCAGGAAGCTTTTGCCCTGCAACTCCTGCCATAGGCATTCATATTCCCTTCCCAGCTACCCACTGGTATCGCAGTCCCAGGGAGGCCAGTTGTGATGAACCAATGGTACAGCGTAAAGGTGACCAAGGGCTTGGAGAAGCTGGAGGAGAGAGCTGTGGGGGATGGGGTGGGTGCTACTGCAGTGTGGCTCTTAGGTGGATGTCCAGAAGCAAGAGATTGTTTGAGTGCTCACAGCTGTACTGAGCTCCAGGCTGAGATCTGCCAGCTTTGGGCTGGGGAATGCTTCCCTCTCCCAGCCCCTTCACCTCTTAGTCTGGTTAACTAAGGAGGATGTAAATACCTTTGGAGACAGAGGCAGGGTAGGCCTGAGCTAGGAAAGTTGCTGCCATGAGATCCCCTTGTTCTTATACCCAGTAGCCTTTGGCAAATCTTCAATGGCCCTGAAAAGCACTGCATCCCTGCCGCATCCCTGTCATCCAGTGTCCTTCCTGCTTTCCTCTGCCCGTCGGGCAGCCATGCTCCCCATGCCTCTCTCCAAAGGTGACAATGAAGCTTTGGGCTGTAGGAGGTGCTCAATGTGCCAGGCTCATCCGGTGTCCCAAAGCGGTTTCCCTGTGGCCAGGCTCCAGCCTCCAAATTGCTGCGTGCTGCAGCACTCCAAAGAGCCGGATGGATGCCAGGCTAATTGCAGCCCTCCTGGAGGAGCTGCCCACTGCACTGGGGCTCTGAGCGCTGCTGTGTTTGGCACCAGTGGGGAAGTAGCCTATGGGTGCTGTGTCAGTGCTCTTCACAAAGGCACTCTGTGTGCTGAGGAGGGTGTTTGCTTGGAACCATTAATTTGCTGGCAGCTGGGCAGGGCCCATGGGGCCCCGGCATGTGCTGATCCCTGAGCCTTCCTGTGCTGGCAGGGTTGGGCCCCTTGGTCCTTCGCAGCTGTTGTGGTTTCCGTCACGCTTTCCTGTGCTACTGGCTACGGAGCTTCCAAAGCTGCGCATTTGCCTCATCCCAGCTCCCTGCTGACGTGGGCTTGGAATAAGGCATTTTCTCCTGCCCTGCCATTTCTCCTGTGGGGAGAAGCCTTCCAGGACCTGAGTGCATGTCAGGTCCCAGCTGAAGCCTCCTGGGTAGGACAGACCCCAGAGGTGGCAGGTGGGTGCCACACAGCACACGCTGGTGCCAGCAAGTTTCCTGCACCAGGGTCTGCAGGGCTGGTATCCCATTGTGTCCTCCTTTCCTGGCACTCACGACTTTTACAGCTGCTGTGCACATGCCCCTTCTCCTCTCTCCCCCCACCTTCACCACTGCCCCAGCTGCTGGGGCCAAGCCACTCACTGCCAGCATCTTATTTAGGGAAGGGCCAAGGCCTTGGCCACCCAATGTGCAGTTGAGGACTGTTTTCCTGTCCTCAAAGCCTTTGGATGGCTGCAGGGAGAGCTGTCCTTACCGAAAAGCTCTGCCTCCAGCCCCTCATTTTGAGCTGAACCAAATTCCACCACTTCCCAGTCCATCGATGCTGCACTGTTTGCAGGGAGCCAGGCTTCCTGGCTGGCTGCCATTGCTGCTGGACCATGCCTTTGTCCTGGTGGTAGTTGTCCCCACTGTAGTGGCATCTTTGGCATGCCAGCAGCCATCTAGGGCAGATGGGAAAAGAGAAGTCCATGAGGATGGAGGGGCTGGTTTTCTCTCCAACACTCTCCACTGTTCTGGCAGTGCCGTGGCTCCTGCTCTTCCCAGCTGCTTCCCTGGCCTTGTGGTGGCAGAGGTGCCTGCTCTGGATAAAAGCCCAGAGTGGGCTGCAGGCCTCAGGTCTAGCCAGGATGCTGGAAGGGATGGTACTGCCTGCTGGCACGGTAGGGGCTGCTGGGGTGAGAAGGAAAGAGCACCCTGGCTCCAGGCAGCTCCCCCAGAGGTTATGTGTATTTTTAGAGTTTGCACGCCCTAGGATTGGTAGTCCTGGCCACCGGTATCTTCCCAGCTGGGGAAGGATAATGGTCCCTATTGGGCTTTGTGGCTGTCAAGTGTTGGAGGACAGCAGTTTTGGCTGCTGCTGGGGTGGCACATGGCATCTCTGCCTGCTCTGTTCTTGCTGGCTTCCCTAAGATTGGAATACCCTGCCATATCACCAAACTCCAAGCAGAGAAGGCAAAGGGCGATAGCTTCTCCAGAGAGATAGCTTCTCTGCAGGGAAGGGACTGATGTGCTTGTCCTGTGGCACAGCCATGGCTTCTCCCAGCACGATGGGGCTTGATGCTGCCAGCAGCTGCTGTTGGTCACTGGGTTTATTTTTAACGAGCTCCATGGGAAATCACCTCCCAGGTTCCTGATGTCAGGGCAGTGTTGATGTCCTACAGCAGGACAGTGTGAGGATAGTGGGACCATGCCTGCCCTGACCAGCCTTTCACTGCAGATCTGGCTGTCTTCTGCCCCTTGAACATCAGGAGGTGTGTTCATAGCACTCTGGAAAAACTGGAGCTGGTAGTGGGGCTGGGCTGTGACCTGATCTGGAAGAGGGAGAGCAGCTCTGCATGTGCATGCCAGGTGCTGGCCTTGGGTGGGCTGAGGAGCACCTGGAGTGCCTGTGACATGTTCATGAGGGCATTTGTGGGGGAGTTGTGGCCGTGCTTCTCACACGTGAAGGGTTGGACTTGGATTTAGGACAGATCCCACTCATGGATTTGGTTCCAAGAGCCACCTGCCATCTGCTAGCAGTGAATGAGGATGGGGAGGGCTGCAGGGTGGACAAGATGACTCCTTGGTGGGATGCTGAGATCTTTTCAACCAGCACCTCCTGGTGAACATGGGATGAGAAAAGAATGGGCTGTCCTGTCCCTTCGCTGCTGGAGGGGCTGGCGTGGGTAGGAGGACTCATTCTAGAGCTGGTGGTACTGGGAGGGGCAGAGCTGCAGGGCACCAACCCTTGCAAGGCAGCAGGACCACTGGTGGGTGTTCATTTCCCGTGCTTGTCTCTTTGACCTTTACATGCCCGGAGGTCTCGTTGCCACCATGACAGCCCCTCCTCACTATGGCTGGTTCCAGCATCCTGTCCCAGGGGGGCCATGCGTACTTCCTGCAGGGCCTGGCAGTGCCAGGCAACATGCACTGGGCACGTGGGTGCCACACACAGACAGCGCCTTTGTCCAGAGTGTGAGCAACTCATGGCAGTGTGGGAGAGGGTGGCACCAGGGCCGAGGTGGGGACTCAGTGGCCAGAGCCAGTGCAGAGCCCTGCCCTGTGCACCCAGCTGGAGGCCACACTGGACCTGGCTGAGCGGCGCCGCATCCGCTCGGCTATCCGGGAGCTACAGCGGCAGGAGTTGGAGCGGGACGAGGAGACGTTGGCATCCAAGCGCTTCCGCCCAGAACGCAGCAGCCATCGACAGGACAACAAGGAGAATTGGCCACAGTGAGTCCTCTTGTGAGCTGGGGTCATTCCCTGCCTCTGCCCTGGGAGATGGGGGCTACAGTACCTGGCCCCAGTGTGGCTGGGATAGATTTGAGTGAACATGAGGGTGGGAGCAGCATGGCACAGAGCAGCTTGGCACCTGGTGGGGCCTGTTGCCTGGATCTGCCAGCTGCCCACAAGGGGACTTTGCTCACAAGCGCCCGTGACAGCTCCCAAATGGCCACCCCTTCCACCCTGCTCAGGTCCCGGCACCTGGAAGAGGAGCAGCAGGCAGCCCTGGCTGCCTTGTCTGAGCAGCTCGAAGCCATCACCAGCGTGGAGGAACTGACAAAACTGGTAAGTGACTGTGTGCTGGGGGAGACTGTTTGCTGGGATGGAACTTGTGCTGGGGCTGACCAAAGGTCACCCTGTGCTGGGGCTTTCCTGGGTCCTTCCCTCTTGCAGCTGCGGTCAGCGGGTGAGTATGAGGAACGCAAGCTGATCCGAGCTGCCATCCGTAAGCTGCGGGCTGAGGAGATTGAAGGTGAGGCACCATTCCCATGTTCTGAGGGGGAAGCCCTGGAAAGTGTGAGATGTGGGTAGCTCCTTCCTGAACACAATTTTTGCTCCCACCCAGCTGCGACCCTGGCTGGGAATGTGCAGAGCAGCCGAAGGGATGGCAGCAAGCCCCCCACTGTGCCTGGGGAAATAAAAATTTTCCAGAGGGACAATGCTGAAACACCAGCCCTTACTGCGAGTGAAGAAAGCTGTGGTGAGAGTAGCACCAAGCCTCCAGGCACAGACAAGAGCGGGGAGAGCAGCCAGCAGGACGATGCAGAGCCAGCACTGGCTGGGCCAGAGAGTGGATATGGGGAGGCTGTGAAGCAGACCCCTGCCCAGCAGCCCAAAGGCTCAGCGGTGAGTGTGTAGAGCACTGCATGGGGTTTCACCTTTTACTGGGATTCCTGTGCCAGCTTGTCTGGAGCAAAGAGACCTGGGCAAGCTGTGGTTGCCTGCCCGAAGGGGTTGAGACAGGTGGGGCTGGAGTCTTTGGGGACAGGGCAAACACAGCTGGGCTGTGCCAGTGTGGCCCCAGCAGTGGTGGGCTGGGGCTGGGTCTTCAGGCCAGGGTTCCCCTTGGGCTTCTCCCAAGGATACTACCTGGTGGGGATCTGGGAGCCCCTTGGTGCGTGTGGTGCACCCATCTCTGCTCCAGTCCTTGGGGATGGGGCTCTTCGGTGGCAACAGCTATTCATCTCTCCTGCAGCAGTTCCCCTGCGTGGGTAGAAACCTCGATTCCCTGTCCCCCTTCTCATGGCTGTTCCTGCCAGCCTTCGAGGGGCCAGGGCTCATTCTGGACTGAAGCTGCTGGGAGCTTTCTGGATGGGGGAGGGATAAACTGGTGGGCAGAGCTGCAAGGAATAAGCACAAACTAGGGTTTTCAGTGCAGCAGGGATGACACTGCAGAGACTCTGTAGTGGTAGGAGATCTCTGCATCCAACCCTGTGGGGTTGCCCTTTGAGGGTGGGGGTGAGAAGAGGAGAAGCAATGGGTGTCCCCGCAGCCAGGTAAGAAGGCGTGGGTTCTCCCATTTGCCTCTATCCAGCCCTTCTTCTTCCTCCACCTGCCCCAGGGCTGTAGCAAGATACTGCCAAAGGGATGTAGCCTTGTGCCACCTTTCAGCACTGTCTGCCTCCTCATCTGGATGTGCTGGCATGCTGCCCCCAAGCCCTGGCTGGGCTGGGACATCACTGAGCAGCTGAGAGGGCTGTTCTGCTGGCTGATTTTGATCCAGCCATTTCCATTCTTGAGTTTGGGGCCTGGCTCTCCTGTGCCCCCTCAGGGTATGGGCCCCCCTTCATCTCCCCCTGCCCTAGAGTCATGGTGCTGCTAGAGGCACTGGCACAGCCAGGACTGGCACCTTGTTCCCTAGCTGACACCAGAACACCCTAGCCCTGCTCAGACTTATGTCAGAGACAGATCCGTCACCTGTGTATGGTCCCATGTTCGGAATATTGCATCATTTGCCAAGCAGAGCTGCAGGTGCTATGAACAGGGACGCGGTGATGTAAAACTGGATGTTCCCTGCATCACAGAGTCCTGGAGTGCCTGGGCTGGAGGCATGGGGCAGGTTTGGGGTCCCCCTTCACTAGACACTGTCTCTCTCCCTGCCCACAGGATGCAGCAGGGTGTAGGGACACTTGTCCCGCTGTGAGCCTCTTGTTGTGACCCCTGTGCAGGGACTGGCTTGTCAATTCCCAGCAGCATGCAGGCAGGGACCTGGATAGCATGGGAAGAGTCCACAGCCTGTGCGTCCCTGGCTGGAATGGGCCCAGTGGGAGACTGGAGCGGGGCTGGTTCTACTCCCCCCAGGCCTGCAAGCAAGAGGATGTGGTGGAGCAGGAGCATGTCCCAGCTGGGATGCAGGAGCTGTGCAGCCAGCAAGCGAGAGACCCCCAGAAACCTGGTGCTCAGGGTGAGTCCCCACAAATGTCCATGGCAAAATCCTGTCTGGGCTGTGTACCTGGGGCCAGAGCTGTGCCTGGCCAGCTGCAGCACGATGGAGGGCATGCTGTCTCACAGTGGTGGGCAGGGAGCCTGGAGGGGCTGCAGGATGCATTTCAGGCTACCTGAGCAGAGTCTCTTCTCACCCACAGCTGTGGTTTCAGGGACCCTCGTGCTCCTGGAGCTGCAGCCAGCCCCAGAGACCCATCCAGAGCCTGAGGATGGTGGTGAGGACCTGCAGCAGGGTCAGCCCCAGGCAGCCTGGAAGGAAGGGAACCTGGACAGCCCTGCAAGCACCCCAGAGCCCAGTGTGGTGCAAAGCCCCAGAGGGGAACAACTCATCCCGGGCCAACCCAGTGCTGGCAGTCAGGTACAAAACTGGTGGCAGCTGCCGCTGCCCTCCTTGCCCAGGGCTGGCAGTCTGTGGGTGAAGCCAGCTTGATGGGGGGACTGCATGTAACCCCCAGCTGAGTGCTCTGCCCCTCTACTCCCACAGCTTCATGTTGGGGTACACTGCCAGGTGCTGGGGCCAGGTGGGAGACACGAGAGGCCATCAGTGGGTAAGTGTAGCCTTGAGGGGGGTGACATGAGAGCTGTGGCCCCCTGCCAGCTGGGCAGTGCCACCCCAAGGCCCCCCTGCTCCCCTGTCTTGCAGCATGTACATCCCGGGCAGCCCTAGGGACATGACTCCAGCCCATGTGTGCTGGGCCAGGATTGTGAGTGCAGGACACAGCCAGGCCACAGGCCGCCCCTAGCTGGGGGCCAATTGCTGCCTAGCCAAGTGGTGGCAATGCCCACCCCAGCCAGGGGAACTGGGTGCCAGGCGAGCTGTTTACTGGGGCTCCCACTCTGGCCGGGTTACTGCAGGGCCATGAAAGGGAATCGGTGCCAGTAGCAAACCCTGGCCTTTTGCATTCTTTGTCCCAATAAGGCTGGGAGCTGTGCACGGCTGGCTCTGACCACCCCCACCCTGGGCCCAGCACCCTGCAGGGCCTCCCCACAGCCCTGAGGGATTCCAGTGTCCAGCAGTTGCCCTCTTCCTACTGCTGGGAAAACCATCCCCATGGCTGTGCCAAGAGGAAGTGGGGAAAAACCAAAAAGCAGCTCTCTGCTTCCAGGGTCAGGGGTGCTCCCCTGACTGGCAGAGGTTGCTGTCCTTCCGAGGAGTCCCTGGAGGCTGCTGGCTCCTGGGAAGGAAGAAGCCCTGGGAAGATGCTAGGGGTGATGGGTAGCAGCAAGGCACAGCCCTGGGGTAGAGGCAAGTGTGCAGGATCCGACCCCCCCCCCACCCCTTGCCTCACAGGGGGCTCAGCCTGGATTCTGAGGAGAAGCTGAGCCCCCTCCCTCCATGGGCATCAATGACTCCAGCCCAAGGGCGGAGCTCTGCCTGCACCTTTGAAGGCTGAGCCACCTGGCCCCTTCAACGTCTCTCCAGAGGCGATGGTATGCCAGGGCCTGGTGAGGACAGGGGTGATCCCAACCTTTCAACACAGATCCCAGGGACCCCCACTGCACTGCTGGGCGCAGAGCCTACCCTCTGCTGTGTGGTTTTGCATTGCAGGACAGAGCCCATGCCTGGCGTGCAGGGCAGCCCACAAGTGCTGATGGATTTTGGCACTAAGCTTTGGGGAGTGTGGAGCGATGGGGGGGGAGACTGCAGGGTGCTGTGCTGGGGTGAGGGGATGCCAGCAGCACCTGTGCCGTGCTCATCCTCTGCCCCCTTTATTCATTCCTTCCCTGGCCTGTCTCTTTCCAAGCATCAGTGCCCACCCAGGAGGTCATGGGAACCCCGGCTCGCCTGAATACTCACCGGTGGGAGCTGCTGCCCTCCTCCCTCTGCCTGGCTGGCCCCACGGGTAAGATCCTATTGGTGGCTGCCTCCATTCTCTGCTTCCCGGTGACCGAATGTCCCCGGTGGCCGAATGTCCCCGGTGGAGCCTGGGCAGGTGTAGAGCTCTGCAGTGCCAGGATGCCGCAAGATGCTGCTGGCTGCCCACCTGCCCTTTTGCTTCCTGCCCAGAATCCCTCCCTCCTCGCCCCTATCCATGTGCACAAGCATCCGGCACCAGTGCGGGGAGGGAGCAGAGGCTTTGAGGGGCTGCAGCTACCCTGGGAAATGCTGGCTGTATCATGGGATCTCTGGGGGACAGCAGTACCTCCCGTGAGCACGTGAGGGATCGCATGCGTGGTCAGGCGCTCCGGGGGCATTGTGCGTCCTGTGGGCAACCTCGGGGGGGCTGCATGCACGGTGTGGCATCCCGGGGCGGGGCCAGCATGCATGGCCGGGGGCACCCCAGGACGGGCGGCAGCGTGTATCGCGGGGGGCACCGCAGGGCGCTGCGTGCACGGTGCGGGGCAAAGCCCCGGCGGGGACACGCGCGGGCGGCTGCAGTCCGGTGACCCCGCGCCCGTCCCCGCAGCGCCGCGCC